AGTGTAGAAGCATACCCATTTTCTTATACCATAGATATTATTTTTAAATTGTTTCCAGTTTTGGGGGCTGGACCATAGTGCAGCAGTAAAATAGTACTTCTCCAAAGCTGACCCAAATGGGTTAATGCCAGATTTGCGTCCAGAGATTTTCCTGAGTACAGCAGGCACATTCATGCCCATGGTCCAGACTAACTGAATCTAGGGGAGGCTCACTAAATCAAGACCCTATTGGGGATGTACTCTCTCTCTCTCTCAATCATGTAAGAAATAAATAAACTTAAAATATTTCACCAGTTTTGGAAATAAAAAATAGCTTATTTTATTATCTATATTATTAAAACAATTTATGTTTTAAACAGTTTCCCTTTTTTTGCCACAGAGTGCATGTGCTGGCCAGAGAGAGACAGTGAAAGGGAAAATGAGAAATCAACCCCCGAGGGAGATGACCACACCACAGTCCCTTTTCCTCAATTCTTTTCCTGGGATTTTAGTCATGCACATACACATGCCCAGTGTTATTTTCAAGTCTCTGGGTCTCGGACCCAAATAGCATTGGCCATGTGTAAGTCTAGCTGTAATCATTATGACACCTTGGACCTTGGACCCTTCTCATTTGTGTTTCTTTTTTAATACACTTTACATGCATTTTTTTTATCTTTTTGATATTTCAGTTTTTTGCTTTTGCTATTAATTTGAACCTGTATATGTTAAATTTACCAATGCTTTTACTAGTTAACAAGACAAACAAAACCAAGAAAGTTGATTTTTTCTTATTTGCACTTTTTGGGGGGTTTTTTGTTTGTTTTTTTCTTTAAGAGAGAGATTTTTGCTATAGGGTATGTGCACTCACTAGAGAGACAGAGACATAAATCACCCCTCCCGGGGGGGGAGGAGTATAGCCACAAACAATTTCTTCTCCTTTTGGGATCTTGGGTACACACGCACATGAACCCAGCATGAATTCTAAGCCACTCAGATCCAGAACTTAAACCATGGTCAACTCCATGGGAGCCCAATGATGAAACCATTTCACCATCTGCTGGTCCCCTGCATTTTTTGTTTTTAAAGCTGAGTATATTTCACATTTATTATAATAGCTGCTTCCTTCTGTCTTTTGCTGTTTTTCTTTTTTCATACAGACTTGTAAGAGTGCCATTTTGTAGATCAAAAGTGGTCAAGTTAGAGAAGTTAGCCTCTGTCTGTGTAGGGCAGATGTTTTTTCCCCTCTTTCTCCTTTCAATTTTATGTACTATATTTGGCTATTTAGAAATGTGAATTTTTATCAAGTTTGATGGAGACTTTCCTTCTTCAGCTTCTGAGTTTCTTGTCCTTCTAGTGCTAACATCCATAAAACTAATACTGTCTATCCTCTGACTTTCTCTTAGTCATCAGCAAATCCTTAACTAAATGTAGGCAGGCATCAGGTGGATAGATTTTGACCCAAGTGCCATGCTGGTACATTTAGCACCAGTTGTCAATAGAATAGTGGAAATCCAGTACTCCAATTTTATTGGAGTTTATAACAGGCATTCAATTTGTGTCTTCCCAGTGATACTCACTGGGTAACATTAGGTAAAACCTAGCTCTCTGCTCTTGCCATAAGATTTCTCTGCTGTCACTAGAACATTTCATCATTCTTTGCCTTACCAGCTCATAATATTTATACATGACTGGGCGAGGGCATTTTCATGGGGATACAGGAACTATACAGTATCTCCTGTTGGGTTTTGCTGGAAGCCAAGGAAGAGAGACCTTTGAGCTGCCTCTTCCCATTTTTTTAAGATGAAGTCCCTTCTTTCCTATCTTACTTTGTTTGATATGGTAAAACTGATCACTATAGCAATATAACAACCCCTGAGAGACCACAAGGTTTTTGTTCTAATTATCTTTCTCATTAAGAGAGACAGACCTTTGAGCTGCCTCTTCCCATTTTTTAAGATGAAGTCCCTTCTTTCCTATCTTACTTTGATATGGTAAAACTGATCACTATAGCAATATAACAACCCCTGAGAGACCACAACGTTTTTGTTCTAATTATCTTTCTCATTTAACATAAGCCTAGAAATTTAGCCACACTTAAGAAGACCCCCTTCATTCCCTGATACAGTTTTTTTATTCTTCCAACTTTTTTCATAGTACTTCCATGATTTTTTGTATTGTGTTTTTGTTTTTTGGTTTTTTTTATTTTTTAGAGATTTTTGCTATGGGATACATGCACTGGCCAAAGAGACAGAGAAAGAGTAAAAGGGAAAAATCACCACCCTCTCCCCGGGGGAGGGGAAGACCACGCCACAATTCCTTCTCCTGTATTCTCTTCTCAGGAGTTTGGGGCTCACATACACATGCACCTGGCACCAGGTCTGGAACTTGAACTGCAGTTGACCACATGGGAATCCATCAGCTTAACTATTATGCCATCTGCTGGGCCCTAAATCTTCATCCATCTGCAACTGTTTGTAGTATAAAAAGGAGGAAGCCTTATTTTTTTAATGACTCACATATCAGTACTATTTATTGAATAACCCATCTTTTTCCCCACTATCATCAGTATGGTCTTAGACATAGCTCTGTGTTTTTTTCCTATTCCTACCTTATGACCTTGAATATTACAGAGTAGTAGAAGTTTTCACAAGGATGTTTGACACAAGGCAATAGAAACTGTCTTTACCCTGGTGACAAGGTAGAAATTCTGTTCTTCATCTTGAGTTCTGTCCTACATGTCTTTCAGACTTCATTAAATATGAATGTTACTTGAGGCCTGTCAAAGAAAATCAAGGGGTGGCCAGCAGATGGCATGGTAGTTAAGGTGCTGAAATTGCCACATGGCTGACCGTGGTTCAAGTCCCAGACCTGATTGCTTGCTTTCTTACTCTCCCTCTCTCTCTCATTTTCTTTCTCTGGTAAAACTCATGTGAAAAAGGCAAATTAATTAATTAATTAATTAATTTTTTTTTAAAAAAGAAAAGAAAAGGAAGATAGAGAATGACCTAATAGAGAAAGCCCACTAGATATACTGAAGGTCTTCTGAGTACCTTCAGAATAGGAAAGAGCAGTACAGCAAGCAAGTCTGGTCTACAGACAGTGTCCCCCTCAGAAGTCCTATGTGTGAGACCCAGTATAAGAAATTTTGTTTTCTACAGAAACTACTCTTCTATGTATTCCTAATAAGACTTTTTCATAGGGGCTGGCAGGTGTTGTGGTGGTTAAGGACACTGGACTCCCACATGACTGACCATGGTTCAAGTACTGGACCTGGTTGCTTGCTTTCTCTCTCTCTCTCTCTCTCTCTCTCTCTCTCACACACACACACACACACACACACACACACACACTATGTTCTTCTCTAGTCAATTTTAAATAAATAAATAAAGCTAAATAATAAAAAAAGTCTTTCTCATAGAAGCTTTGTTGTTTATTATACTAGATGTGTATTGTACTAAATTTTATATATATTTAGTGATTTTATTTAAATTTTCTTTATGTTTGAAAGGTCTTTTAATTATTTATTTGTTTATTATCATTGTTGTTATTTTTAAGTTCCCTATAGGGCAGCAGAGAGACAGAGAGGTAAAGTGAGAAAGCAAGCTACCAGGTTCTGGACTCAATCCATGGTCAGCTAGCTACATGTAAGTCCAGCACCTTACCCACCATGCCACGTGCTGGTACCTGCAATGTTTTTTAAATTTAAAATTTAAATTTTTTAACTAAGTTATAAAAAACAAGTGATTCAAAGAATTTCTGTACCTTAAAAACCTTATACACTTTTCTTTTAACTTGTCAATTCAAAATATCTGAATGGTTTGCTATAATTTATTATTTTACCACTTCCAAGTTTAAATAACTATAGTATTTCTGAAGATTTTATATTGTAAAATTCGATATAAAGTTCATATTTGTACAGACTGAAGGAGTCAGTTGATAACATTCAAGCATCAAAATTGAACCCATAAAAGAGAAATAATTGCGACCGCAGGAGGCATAGTGGCTAAGGCGCTGGACTCACACATTGCTGATCATAATTCAAGTTCCAAATCCAGTAGCTTGAAACTCACACCAGATGCATGTGTATTTGTGTGTGAGTGCGTGCATGTGCCCCCAGAATTCTAAAAGAGAATGGAGAAGAAGGGATTGTGGCATGGCTGTTCTCCCTGGGGCAGGTGATTTCTCACTTTGCCTCTCACTTTCTCTTTCACTCTGGCAAGCACACGTGCCCTAGGCAAGAAACTTAAAAACAGAAATAATTATTATTCACCACCTTTTATATGGCAGTTCTGTTTTGAATTCTTAAAGGTTTATTAAAATGTGTATATTAGGGAACCAGCAGTTAGCATAATGACTATGTCGCTGGACTCCCACGTAGTCGACCGCGGTTCGCGTCCCAGACCCGGTGGCTTAAAACTCACGCCGGGTGCGTGTGTGTGCGTGCCCAAGATCCCGAGAGGAGAATGGAGGAGAAGGGATTGCAGCGTGACCATCCTCCCTGGGGGGGGTGATTTCTCACTTTCTGTCTCTATGTCTCTCTCTGTCTGTCTGGCGAGCGCACGCGCCCTATAGTGAAAACCTCTCCAAAAAAAAAAATGTGTACATGAGTTCTCAATGGCTTAGTAGCATGAAAGTCACAATATTTTTCTCTATAGACCAGACTAAATATGGAGTCCATCCTTTTTAAATCCTGAAGGGATTAGTTACTAAAAAATTAAAAGGATCGTTTTAATACTCAATGCAATAACCTTTCCAAAGACATTTAGTCATACAATCTGTGCTTCTAAAATTGACACTAATCAACAAATTGGACAAGTCATGGGAGCTTTGAAGGGACTTCAGAAGTTCAGAAAAAACACAAGTAGAGGATTGCACCATGGCAAAGCAGTTAAGCACAGTGCCTAGGTACCTAGATTCCACATGGCCTGGAAAAATATGCCAGGGGAACCAGCAGTTAGCGTAATGGCTATGACACTGAACTCCCATGTAGCCGACCATGGTTTGAGTCCCAGACCTGGTGGCTTAAATCACACCAGGTGCATGTGCGTGTGTGCCCAAGATCCTGAGGAGAATGGAGGGGAAGGGATTGCGGCGTGGTCATCCCCCCTGGGGGATGATTTCTCTCTGTCTGTCTGTCAAGCACACGTGCCCTATAGCAAAAACCTCTCCCAAAAAAAAGAAAAAGAAAAAAAGAACATGCCAGGCACATGTGCTTATTGACAGGATGGAGAAAATATGATTATGGCGTGATGACACCCCACTGAGAGGGTACTTTTTTTTTTCTTTGATACGGCATATGCCCTCTGGAAGCAGGAAGAAAGAGAAAGGAAAGGAATTAAAGTACAAGTTCATTTTGGTGCAAACATTTTGAAATCCATACATAGTCTTTTCATTATACACATTTTCCATGAACTTTTTGAAGATTGCTTATATGCTTTTCACATTGACTTAATATATTGCTTGTGCATTGATTAGATACATACAGCCATGAAAGAAAGTTCGCCTTTCTTTGATGATGGACAACCCTGGGGAGAAGAAACTGAAGATGGAATTATGCATAATAAGGTGATATATATTATCATAAGCTATAAATTGATATTATTCACTGTGTCACTGTTGGAGTTAATATATGCTTTTGTAAAGTGTGTCTGTTTGCTTCCTGAAAAACTTCAAGAGCTAATTTTAAAAAACATTAGTCAATGGTGGGACCAGCAGTTGGCATATTGACTATGTCGCTGGACTCTCATGTAATTGACTGCAGTTCAAGTCCTGGACCCAGTGACTTAAAAACACCGGGCACATGTGCACACATGCCTAAGATCCCAAGAGGAGAGTGGAGGAGAAGGGATTGCGGCATGGCCATTCCCTCTGAGGTGGGGGGGGTTATTTCTCACTTTATGTCTCTCTGTCTTTCTGGCAAGCACACATGTCCTATAGCAAAAAAAAAATCATCTCAAAAAAATAAAAAATTTAGCCTCAATCGATCTACTGTCGGAGTCACATTATAATTTTCAAAAATTAAATAGGCAGAGAAATTTGAAAATGTTAGCTAAGTAATTAATGCAAGAGGTTTGAAATTAAATCATAACATACTATTGCATGTTATGGATATGATGATTCTTTTCCATCTGTATCTTATAAAATAAGTTTATTAATACTGGCAACATTATTTTAATTAATACTGGCAACATTATGTAATTCTTCATCAATACAAAGCATAAATAGATTGAATCTTTTTTTTTAATTAAACTTTATTGATTTGTTTTAATTTTACCAGAGAGGGACAGAGAGAGAGAAAGCAAGCCACCAGATCTGGAACTCAAATCGCGGTCAGCCATGTGGTAGTCCAGCACCCCTAATCACCACGCCATCGATCAGCCCCAAGAGATTGAGTCTTAAAAGAATGCATTTGGTTTTTTGCCTATTTGTTTATTTTGATTTTGTCATTTTAGTTAAGCATAATTGCCATTTAATTCAGTTACCACTTCTGAAATGGTTGAGATAAAAGTACATAGATGGTTGGAATTAGTTCTCACATCATATACTATACTGGAAACTAAACTATATAACTATCCCCGCCCTATTTCTTAAATTATACAGATGTATATATCCAAATGAAGCAAACACCAGCTCTGAGGCAAATTTAAAGTAGTGAGATTATACAATAACGTGCTATAGCACACATAAACAACTAATTGCCACATAGGCCCTTGTGGGAAAATAACTATTCTTTCCTCTAATTCTTTATTATTATTATTCATTTAATTTCATTTATTACTATTATTATCATCATTATTATTATTCAATTTGATTAGAGAAGGAGAGTGAAAAAGCAAGCAGCCAGGTCTGGGCCTCTAACCACAATCGACCATGTGGGAGTCCAGCACCTCAATGACCACGCCACCTGCCGGCACCTCTTTTCTCTAATTCTAACCTTCAATTTTTTGGAGCCTTTTCCAAAAAGGGAAAGTAGAAATTATGTTCTCATATTTTATTGCCGCCTGAGAAATACTTAAAAGATATATCAACTAACTGATATGGTACCATTGCCTCCCCTACTCCCCTAAAGTATAAAAACATGCCTTTATTACTGCTTCAATAATAATCTAGCTGCAGAGGCTCCTAGAAAGCCATTATCCTACTTGTGAGAGAATTCTCCCACTTTGCAATATGTATACTGGACTACATTTAATTGCACTTCAATTTTCACCCAAATGCATTTATAAAAATACTTACTAAATGTTAAAGTTCTTGACATTAACTACAAGTTAAATATTGTTGATTTTTTATTATATTATTCAAATGACAATTTAGAAAGAAGCACTTTGGAAACTATTAAGTACTCTTTAATTAACAAGGATTATTGGAATATCTAGCTTCAGCAGGTTTTGACCCTCAATTTTATGAGCCTACAAACTCAATTTTTTTTAATCCATAAGATTAAAATTGGCCAGGACCAGCAGGTGGTTTGGTGGTTAAGGACACTGAACTCCCACATGGCTGACCATGATTCAAGTCCCAGACCTGGCAGCTTGCTTTCTCTCTCTCTCTCTCTCTCTCTCTCTCTCTCTCCCTCCCTCCCTCTCTGGTCAAATTAAAATAAATAAATAAAGTTAAATAAAAAAATAAAAATTCTTGGGAACCAGCAGTTAGTGTAATGGCTATTTCGCTGGACTCCCACGTGGTCGACCGCGGTTCAAGTCCCGGACCCGGTGGCTTAAAACTCACGCCAGGCGTGTGTGCGTGCACGGCCAAGATCCTGAGAGGAGAATGGAGGAGAAGGGATTGCGGCGTGACCATCCCCTCTGGGGGGTGATTTCTCGCTTTCTGTCTCTATGTCTCTCTCTGGCAAGCGCACGTGCCCTATAGCAAAAACCTCTCCAACAAAAAGAAAAAAGAAATAAATAAAAATTCTTCAAAAAAATAAAGATTAAAAATGAACAAGTTTTAGGAAATTGATTTGCTCTTACCAAATTCACAAGAGACTGATGTGAAGTAAAATGAAAATGTATTAACTTACTATCAGAATTAATTTACCTCTCTTGGTGCAAGAATACTCATACTACCTATTCATGGAACTCCTTCCTTATCAAACAAATAATAGGAAGGTTGCTTAGTGAGCAAAGAATTAGTACAAAGGGAATTGGTTTGTCTTGAGGGATATTTACTTCATCTAAGCTGGAAAATTCTAATCAGCCACCTTGCCTTTTATAATTATGTTCTCAGTAACCAAAACACCTCCTGACTACAAAATATAGTGTTACTTTCTCTTGGATAAATATTAAGAATTGTACTATTCTATGTAGATCTATACTTACTGTGCCAATTTTTTAGCCTGAAGTTGCAATGTAGGTATGGGCTTTATTAATTACATTCTGGTTTTCACAACTGGTTGTCAGTTTAATTGAACTTAGATGATCGGCAATTCACCTAAATTTTTTTAAGGTGCATTATACCTAAATATGATTAAGTTTATGCATTTTACATTGAATTACATTTTTTAATAAGCTTCTTTGTTTGGCCTTCTCAAAATTCCAAAGGTCTGGTTTATTTAATATTTTCAAATATAACCTTTATCCGAATTTTTTAAATTATTTTCATCATCATTATTCATATTTAGAAGTAGAAGACTGAGCCAACTTCTTGGTCTAGTGGTTACGCCATTCAGATTTCATATAGCCAACGCCAAGGTTCAAGTCCCTCAGCCAGCAGCTTGAGAAACACACCATGCATGAGTCTGTGCGTGCCCAAAATCACAACAGGATGGAGATGTGGAAGAAAAGGAATTGAAGCATGACCAGTCCTCATAAAGGATTCTTTCTCCCTCTCTTTGTCTTTTTGTCTTTCTCTGGAGAGTTAATGTGCTCTCTGGCAAAAATCTTTTTTTTTTCTTAGAATATAAGTTTTGAAAATTGTTATAAATAACTTATCTGCTATGAAGATAGTTTACCCAGCTAAATCACAAAACCATAAACTCAAGATATCCAAATTTCGTTTTATTTATAAAACAAAAACTGATTTATCAGTCTTCACATAGAACTGCAGATGAAGCTGAAAAGCAAGGCCTGTTTTTAAAACAAAATGCATCTGGGACCAGCAGTTAGCGTAATGGCTATGTCGCTGGACTCCCATATAGTCGACTGCGGTTCGAGTCCTGGACCCGGTGTCTTAAAACTCACACTGGTCACGTGTATGTGCGTGCCCAAGATCCCGGGAGGAGGATGGAGGAAAAGGGGTTGTGGCGTGCCCATCCCCCCTGGGGGGTGATTTCTCGCTTTCTGTCTCTGTCTGTCTGGCGAGCGCACGCGCCCTATAGCGAAAACCTCTCCCCAAAAAAACAAAAAATATATCGATGTAAGGGCTTCGGGTCTATTGTCTAATTAACTAGGATTGTCATATTTCTTCTCATATACAAAATCCAAAGCCTGAAAGTCGAGACTGGCAAAAATCTTAAAAAAGAAAAAAAATATTAAATAATTTTGTCCAGTATAATTCGTGATACACCCAAGGTTTGTGTCTCTGGTTTATATGTGACTACTCCCTGACCTTTTTTTTTGTTTTGTAATTGAAATTTCCACTCAGAAAACTGAAATAATCATGACTTTGTTTTTAAAAATCTGCTTAACTCAATCAGTTGTTTTTGGATTACACCATAAAATGCTATGAAAGTTTCATGTCTGGTGCCGACAGCTTTGAAGAGATGAATGCAGAGTTGCAGTCAAAGCTGAGTAAGTGTTTTCTTACCTACTGCGCTTGTTTTTCCTTCCTTTAACTGCTCATGGACTGGTAGCTTATTTTACCATAGCCAATATTTATTTGAGCTACTTACTTCAGATCCTCTTGGTGCTTGCTAATTTTTATCTTTATGATTTTGGTAGTAAGAAGTTATATGCAGGGTCTTTAAAAACTATATAGAAAATGCATATTATGGAAGAACTATACATAGATTTCAAACATTTTTTACATTAAAATAAACTCTTATTATAATTCCATTTTTCCTCAAACTTTTCAAAGTCCCCTCACAGTTAAACAGAAAGAATTCTGGTATTAGAGTCAGACTTGAGACATAACTCTCCTGGCTGTGTGACCTTAACAAACTACTCGGCCTGTCAAACAAAGTTTTGTGAGATTAGATGGTAGCATAATAAACCACCAGCCACACTATTAAGAGCACAGAAGATAATCAGCAAATGCTATTCCTCTTGGGGGATAATATTCCTATGATGCTATTGCTTTAGTGTTTGAGAAATTAAAATACCAATTAGTCAAAAAGAACACCTAAAGTCTCTTTCGAAACTTGTGTCATAAGGTTACAGGCCATTATATTTCCAAATAAAGAAATTCCTTATTTTTTTACTTACCTGTAACTTAGAGACATTCGGTTTACTGGCTAAGTCTAACATGTTCCAACATTTTACATTGTTGTTCTTTCTATTGGAAAGCCTTGCATGTAAAATACCAGAGTCAGGAACCAGCAGGTGGTATAGTGGTTACAGCCCTGGACTCCACATTGACTGATCACAATTTGAGTCCCAGACCTGGAAATTAGAAAATCATGCTAGGCACATGTGTGTGCATGTCCAAAACCCCAGGAGGAGAATAAAGGAGAAGGTATTGCAGCCTGACCATCTCCGCTGGGGGGTCATTTCTCATTTTCCCTCTCACTATTTCCCTGGCAAGCACACATGCCCTATGACAAAAACCTCAAAAAAAGACAAAAAAAAAAAAAAAAAAAAAAACCAGTGGGAGGTAAAAATAGATAAATCTAGCATGTATAAAGCCATGACTTCAAAGACAGTGGAATCAATGAATACAGGAGATTATCACCTAGCCGCTATTAGTACAAAAGGTGAAAGCATTCCCTTATGTTCCCCTGGGAAAGTACCTACCTAAAGAATAACCAGGACAATTTCAACTTGTCCACATGGGAATGGAAACAAGGTAAATGATGTTTTGTTTTAACAGAGGAAAATTTGTAGTAATCTAACACAGAAAGCATTTAATGAGCTGTTTAATTTTTCTATATATAATTAAGTAAGCATATAAATGGCATTTATTCATTAAAATACTTACTGTGTACCTACTGTGTGTTAGCTACCATTGAGGCACTGAGAATACAGTAATGAATAAGATAAAAATTTGTCTTTATGAGCTTACATTCTAATAGAGATAATAATGAAATAGGCAACAGTAAGTCAAATGGGGATAAGAATCATGGAGAAAAATCAACCAGGATAAGGCAGATACAAAGAGGGATGGAGTAAAGGGAAGGGCATTGTACTTTTAACAAGGTAGGTTGTACATCACTTAAAATGTTTGAGCAGAGACCAGAAGGTAATGAGAGTACAAACAATAGTTAAAAAACCTGGCAAACTTATTTTCAGCAGATTTGAAATCTTACAAAAGTTTTTGGGTTTTTTTTCTCCAGAGGATTTATTTAATGTAGATGCTTCCAAGCTGGAGTCATTAGCAGCAAAAAACAAAGAGTTGAATGAACAGATTGCAAGATTGGAACAAGAAAGAGAAAAAGAACCGGTTAGTAAACATGTTTATATGCCTAAAACCTCATTCATATTCTTGGGTTACCTTAGAAAATACAATCTGTCTTTACCAAAAAAAATTATTTTCGTGGATTAACAAATTAAACTTCTTGAGAGTTAAATTTTCTGGCATAGGACAGAACTCCCAATGAAAACACATTTGGTATCTGTGGAGCCTTGTTTTCCCTTGTGATCTATCAGTCTCGGACTAATGGGCCTAAGAAGATGATGAAAGATTCTTACCTATTTACATAAGACCAAAAGTGTCTTTGACCAAGGTACTTATGTGTCAATGTACACCTCCAGAGAGCCCTATTCATAAGCAGCCCTTAGTTTTATGCTTAGTGAAAAAGAAATGGTAATAAATGAATTTATATAGCATATTAAATTCTAAAAGTTTTCTAAAGCTAAATGATACTGTCCAGATATCTTAACTTTAAGTTGTATATTAATTGTTTTAATTTTTCAAGAAGCATTTACTTAATTTTATTTATTATTATTATTACTACTGAATTTGCTATAGGGCACACATGCTCACCAGTGAGCAACAGAGGAGGGTGGGGAGTGCGAAAGCAAACCGCCAGGTCCAGAACTCGAACCATAGTCTGCCATGTAGGACTCTAGCACCTTAACTACCACCCCACGTGCTAGCCCCAAGTTATTTGGTACTAATGCAGCATTCAAACTGTTCTATAAATACCAAATTTTAAATATAAGTCTGTCTTTTTAATTAGATAATGATAGTATAGCTCTCTTTTTAGTTATTTTTACTTCCTCTGTAAGTGAAAGGAAAACTCTAATCTACTTATCTCTAAGATAAATTTAAGTGATATTGCTTTACTTTTTTAAACAAAGTATGGAGTGATTATTGATGAAAATAACAAATTTACTATTCTTTTCTCTTAAAGAATCGTCTAGAGTCATTGAGAAAACTGAAAGCTTCTTTACAAGCAGATGTTCAAAAATATCAGGCATACATGAGCAATTTGGAGTCTCATTCAGCCATTCTTGACCAGAAATTGAATAGTCTCAATGAAGAAATTGGTAGAGTAGGTAAGCACAGCTCATGTTAAAAGATGTCATTCAGGCAGTGTGGGATATGTATCCATATTTTTTTTGCTACAGTGGTGAATATCGATAGCAAGTTTTCAATGCCTTCTGTATTGATTTACTGAGCCTGCTATAACAAATTACCACAAACTCAACAAGTTTAAGACTGTAAGCCCAAGATTTGACAGGTGCATAAGAAATCTGGGAGAGAATGTGTTCCATGACTCTTCCAGCTGCCAGTGGCTAGTGGCATTC